AATTAATTGGTTATAACAGTCTGATTTTGTCATGCTTCAGTAAGTAGTATATTGTACATAATTTTAATGATCTCCAATTCAGTTCAGCAAATAAGATCTGCATAGTAAAGCAAAAATTGAGTTCTCTTGATAATTACCAAAATCATTGGCCTGTTTGGTATTTGTGATAAATTAGTTAATTAGGTTTTTATTGCATTTTCAAGTTTAAGGGCTCTAAAACAAAGGTAATTTATTTCTCTGTATAAATTAAAAAATATATACATATAATCTGTATTTCTAACATTTCATGTTTACAACAAATCTCAAGTAACCTTTTATATAACAAATTTGCTATAGTACACTTAATAATAGCTTCAGATATTCATCTTACAATTTGAATATTATTGAGATGGGCATAATCATAAGTTTCTGTCAAATGAAACCTTAATATTCAAAAGATTTAGGCTTATAATACAAAATCTTATTTATTCACTGCTCATCCTAACATGGTATTAAATTCTGTGGGTCAAAAATTATACCATAAAAGTCAGGAAATGGCTATTTATGCAACATGCATTTGTGATAAGTAGCATTTTACAAGTATGTTTGTCAGGCTTATAACACTACTTAAAATTCATGTTTTTTATTTGTCTTGAATGACAAATCCTCATTTCAGTGTAAGAGGTACTGTGTATATATTAATACATAATCACTGGCTTATAGAACCTAAGCTGTGCTTTTGAAATGTAGAGCCACACAAAACATTGTAAGTTTTATAGAAATTGAATATTTCAATAACTTTAGAAATCTTATATCACTGAAATGTTTGGCTCTGTCCTCCTAACACAGGAACTATAAATAAATCTTTCTTAAGGTTAGTTAGCTTCTTTTGGCCACTATCTGAGGAATCCTGGCAATAGCTGCATAAAAATATGTGACTACAAGACAACAAACAGTTACCATTGATATTTTAAGTGTAAAGACAAAATTCTTGCTATCTAGTGTGTAATTATTACCAATTATAGAATATTTGTTATGTACCAGGCAAAACACCAGGCATCTTCCACACCTTATTTTTAAAATTCTAATAAAATCCTATAAGGTGGACATTATTATCTCTAGTTTACAATTGCTAATTGAAAAAGAGGATATTTCAATCCATGTTTGGACTCAAAACCTTTGCTTTTGCAACTATGCCAAGTTGTAGTATTCTATTTAAGCATTGTCTAAATCAAAGAAAGAAAAAAACAGTGATAACACATGATGTTTAATTTAAAAACCATGTTTATTCACAAAGTAGTTGCAATGTGTCACCAGTGTTTCATTGATTTAACAAGTATTCATAGCATCGTTTAAAAGCATAGATCCAGTGGCTGCATAAGATCCTTGGATGTCCCCAAATAAATTTGATTCTGATTTTCTTTATATCTGTTAGAAGACATATACATGTTAGTGATAAACAAAATAAATAGAGAAAAAAAGAATACAAGCTAAGTCTTTACAAATTCAAGAAGACTGAAATCATATCAAGTATCTTCTCAGATTATAGTGGAATAAAATTAGAAATCAACTACAATAAAAGCAATAAAAACCAATCAAACACATGGAGACAAATAGCATGCTATTATACAATGATTGGGTTACCAAAGAGATCAAAGAAGAAATCAAAAGCATCCTAGAAACAAATGACAATGAAAACACAACAATCCAAAATCTAAGGGACATAGTGAAAGCAATTCTGAGAGGGAAGTTCATAGCACTACAGGCCCACCTCAAAAAACAAGAAAAACTTATAAGTTATCTAACCCTACAACTTAAAGAATTATAAAGAGAGCAACAAGAAAAACCCAGAGTAAGCAGAAGGGTGGAAATAATAAAGATCAGAGTGGAAATATATGACATAGAGATCAAAAAATGTATACCAAAGATCAATAAAACCAAGAGCTGGTTCTTTGAAAGGATAAATAATATTGATGAACCTCTAGCCAGACTCACCAAGAAACAAAGAGAGAGGACCCAAATAAACAAAATCAGAAATGAAAGAGGTGAAGTAACAACTGACTCCACAGAAATACAAAGGATTGTAAAAAAATACTATGAACAACTCTACTCCAACAAACTGGACAGCCTTGATGAAATGGACATATTCCTAGAAAAATAAAATCTTCCAAAACTCAGTTAGGAAGAATCAGAAAATCTGAATAGGCTGATAACTACTGATGAAATTGAAGCAGTAATAATAATAATAAAAAAATCCAGCAAACAAAAGCCCTGTTCTGGGAAGATTCACAGGGGAGTTTTGCCAATCATTCAAAGAAGAACTAACACCTATCCTCCTCAAGCTATTCAAAAAATTCAAGAGGAAGGAACACTTCCAAGCTCTTTGTATAAGACCAGAATAATCCTAATTTCAAAACCAGATAAAGATACTACAGAGAAAGATAATTTCGGGCCAATATCCATGATGAGCATAGATGCTAAAATCATCAAAAAAACTTTAGCAAATCGGATCCAGCAATACATTAAAAAAATCATACACCATGACCAAGTGGGATTTATTCCAGGGATACAAAATTTGTACAATATCTACAAATCAATAAATGTGATATAGTACATGAACATATTGCAAGACAAAAATCACATTAGTTAATCTATACTAATAAAAGACAAACATGCAAATTGACTATACCTTCGCTATGCCTTAAGCCAATCAGAGCGACTATATGCAAATTAACCCAACCAAGATGGCCGCCGGCAGCATGGAGCTGGAGCAAGCAGGAGGCTTGGTTGCCCCAATGATGGAAGAAGCCAAGCTTCCTGCCTGCCACGGCCCGGGCTCTGAGCTCCACTCAAAGCAACAAAGTTTCAATTATAGAAGGTAAATAAACCCCTGATACCTGCTTTCAGCAGGCAGTGGCCACGGAGCTGGAGCGAGCAGTAGTGGGTTGCCCCTGGCAATGGAGGAAGCCAAGCTTCCCACCCGCCCGCCCTGGTCAGCTCTGAGCTACTCTCAAGGCTACAAAGTTTCAATTATAGAAGGTAAATAAATCCCAGAATAAAAAAAAAAAAAGAAAAGAAAAAAAGGAGAGGCTGGGAGCTTCTGTCACGGGGGGGGGGGGGGGGGCGGGGGGCTCGGCCAGCCTAGAAACGTGCCTCAGCCTCTCACTCAGGCTGCCAGGCACCCCAGTGGGGACCCCCACTCTGAAGGGGGTGTGACCAGCTGCAAACAGCCATCAGCCCCTCACCCAGGCTGGCCAGACACCCCAGCGGGACCCCCACCCTGATCTGGGACACCCTTCAGGGCAAACCAGCCTGCCCCCACCCATGCACCAGGCCTCTATCCTATATAATAAAAGGGTAATATGCAAACTATCCTTAACAGCAGAACGACTGGGAATGACTGGTCACTATGACACACACTGACCACCAGGGGCAGACGCTCAATGCAGTGCGCTCCCACAGGGGGAGCTCTCCTCAGCCACAAGCCAGGCTGATGGCTGCCAGTACAGCGGTGGTGGTGGGAGCCTCTCCCGCCTCCTCAGCAGCGCTAAGGATATTTTACTGCAGCTTAGGCCTGCTCCCCGCTGGCAAGTGGACATCCTCCTAGGGCTCCCGGGCTGCCAGAGGGATGTCTGATTGGGGAGCGGGACTAAGCCAGCAGGTGGTCATCCCCAGAGGGGTCCCAGACTGCGAGAGGGCACAGGCTGGGCTGAGGGACCCCTCCCCCCCCAAGTGCACAAATTTTTTTGCACCAGGCCTCTAGTAAGATTATATAAGTTTCAAGTGTACATTTCTGTGATACATCATCTGTATATGGCACTGTGTTTATCACTCAAAGTCAAGTGTTCTTCTGTCACCATATATTTGACACCCTTTATCCTGTCTTACCTCTCCTAACTCTGCTTCCCTTCTGGTAACCACCATACTGTTGTCTTTGTCTACCATTTTTTTGTTTGTTTTGCTTTGCTGTATTTGTTGATTCCTTTTTTATATCCCACATCTGAGTGAAATCATATGATTCTTGTTGTTTCTGTCTGAATTACTTTTTTTAGCATGATATTCTCAATATTTACCCATGTTGTCACAGATGGCAGTATATGTACCACAGCTTCTTTATCCAATCATCCATCCAAAGACACTTAGCTTGCTTCTCTCACTCTTGTCAGTGCCCAGATCTAATCAGGACCTGAATACATGACTCAACTATTCATATGCATACAAGACCTTGTAAACAACAAAATTCCAAATTATTAACTTACAATGAGGATTATAATTGTCATACAGGTTAAATTACTCATGTTGTCCTGTTCAATACATTCTCTCCTTGTAATCAAGTCACATAGGAAACAAATCTGCATCAACAAATACTATTTTATTCACCCCCCGCAAAAGAGTCTGTTATTTAGAGTTCCTATATTCAGCACATTGTCTCTCCAGTCGGTAGCCAAACATTGGAAGGTAAATCATGTAATAAATCATGAAAGGTTGCTTTCTGAGCTTTGAATCAAACAAAGGGAGTTAGATGATTAAAATATTAAGTGGTATCAGTTTAAAGTAGTTGATACATCCTTGCAAGTGTAACTGGAAATGCTCAAACTGTGATGGTTAAGATTCTCTATTTCTTATACAGTTTTCAACTTATAGGGTCAGTGTTGGCCTCTGTGGCTCACCATTTTGTATAGTTCAAATTTGCATATGTCTGATTCTACAGATATGTGTTAATATCAGATTTGAAGGTCAGTACTTAAAAGGGGTAGGTGGCATCTCATTGTAGCTAATGCTACATTACTACTATATCTATTTCCTGTTGCCATCAGCATCATCAATCGTTATCTGGTCAGGAAAATAGAAACCACTATAGGTATTTCAAGCAATGGTAATTTAATTCAGAGAATTGGTAATATGTATTGGAAGAGCTAAAAACCACCAAGGGCTCTAGGTAACACCATTTTTCCTTTTGCTTCTCTAGCCTCAGATATGATTGTCTCTTCTATCCTAGGAATTTTATTTTATTTTTCTTTCTAAATATGGAATGCTTCAAGAATTTGCAGGTCATCCTTGTGCAGGGGCCATGTTAATTTTCTCTGCATCATTCCAATTTTAGTATGTATGCTGCTGAAGTGAGCACAGGACTAGGAATTTTAGAGTGGGATGGGAGATTATGTTTTTATAGTTGAAAAGCTCTGTTAATTTTTATTTTGGCATATATATAGAGCTAGTAAACTACTTTTTTTCTTTTTTAAATTTTATTTTATTGTTTAAAGTATTACAAATAGTAGTACATATGTCTCCTTTTTTTCCCCATTGATCTTCCCCCAGCCTCCCCTACCCCCCGGCACATGCCCTCACCCCACTCCCTACTGTCTTGTGTCCATTGGTTATGCTTATATGTATGCATACAAGTCCTTTGGTTGATCTCTGATTTAGAGTTCCTATATTCAGCACATTGTCTCCCCCCAACACTCCCCAGCCTTCCTGCTGTACTTTTTTTTTTATATTTTATTGATTGTTTACAGAGAGGAAGGGAGAGGGATAGAGAGTTAGAAACATCGATGAGAGAGAAACATTGATCAGCTGCCTCCTGCACACCACTCACTGGGGATGTGCCAGCAACCAAGGTACATGCCCTTGACCGGAATCGAACCTGGGACCTTTCAGTCTGCAGGCCGATGTTCTATCCACTGAGCCAAACCGGTTAGGGCTTCCTGCTGTACTTTGACAGTCTGTTTGATGCTTCTCTGCCTCTGTATCTATCTTTTCGTTCATCAGGTTATAATGTTCTTTATTATTGATAAATGAGTGAGTTCATGTGGTATTTTTCTTTCACTGCCTGGCTTATTTCACTTAGCATAATGCTCTCCAGTTCTATCCATGCTGCTGCAAATGGTAAGAATTCTTTCTTTTTATAGCAGCCTTGTATTCCATAGTGTAGATGTACCATAGTTTTCTAATCCATTCATCTGCTGATGGGCATTAGGCTATTTCAAATCTAGCTGTAATTTGGC